AATGCAGAACGATAGACTTATGCTAGGGCGTCGCGGTAAGGAGAACTTACAGAAATCGTTCGGAAATTAGGAAACGTGCCCGGCTTCGCGATGTAGCCTGTTGCCCCGGCCACCTGCCACTATGGCCACGGCGGGTCGACGATGGCCGCTCCGATCTCCGTCGCAGCTCATCCTCCGGTGAAGGCCCTCCCTGCAGAGATCTCCAAACCCTAGAGCTACTCCGACGAGTTCTTTGGTGAGGCCTCCTGTCCCCTAACGAAACAGAGGAAAGAGAGAGAATGCAACTCCTCGTCATGGGCTTGGGCCGCTTAAGCATGGACAAGCAGTCAAACCTGGCTAGATGGGCCGGACGGACTTGGGTTGTATGTGCCAGGCACAGCACGGCCCATCCAGGACACGGCCTGAACCGGGCCGGCATGCGTGCCGCGCTCCCTGGCCCAGGCACGGCCCCCATATTACTCTCGCTTTTCTCTCTCTCAAAAAAAAACTAGGAAGTAAAAGAGTACATTTGCTCAAAAAAAGTAAAAGAATACAAAGTTTCTAAAAAAAGGTAAAAGAGCACAAAGCCACGCTCTAGATTACAAAAGTTTTTTTTTTGCAAAGACTACAACTACACGACTTGTCATCTCACCGTCCTTCTTGATGTGTACCAATTTGTGCCTATTCAGGTAGTCGGTTCCTCCGTGCCCTCTCGTGAAATACAAGTTCCCGCATCTTTTGCACCTAGCATTAAGCGTTGACACCATCCTCCACAATATTTCTTCATTGAAGTAGTCGCAACACAATTTTTACGACGAACACGTGCGTCGAGTTGGAACTGGTTGAGATCGTCCATGTTTGAGTGTGGGAAATGAGAGAGGTAGGTAATCCTTTCTTTTAGCAAAAACTTGACAATTTTTAATCGGGCCGGCACGGGCCGCACAGTTGGCCCACGTGGCCACCAAGGCATGGCTGGCCCAAATAGTTCCAAAAAATCAAACAAAAAGAAAAAAGAAATTTTTTTTACAAAAAAAGAAAATGAGTCCAGGTGTCATCACATGGGATAAATCTTGACCTTTATTAGTGTCTGTCTCGTTAAAACTTAATTTCCATCCCTATCTTTCACGGCCATACCTAGGAAATACTCTTTCCGTCTCGTTAAAACTTAATTTCCATCCCTATCTTTCACGGCCATACCTAGGAAATACTCTTTCCGTCTCGTAATATAAGAATGTTTTTCAAGCTAACATAGTTTGATGTTAGCTTGAAAAACATTCTTATATTATGGGACGGAGGGAGTAAAAGAGTAAAAAACCACGCACTACATTACAAAAGGTAAAGTAAAATTACAAAGACTACAACTACAACTATTATTCTCTTTTCTTCGATGACAAGATTTTCAAATGCAGCTTTCAACTCTTTGTTGTCTGCCATGTGTTGGGTTCTCCTTTTGGCTAGTTCCCTATCTTTCACGACCATTAGTGTTCTCTTGATATCCAGGGTGAGATTGGTTCTTCTCTCCTCAAATATTCTTCCAGCTGGGCTAAAAGCAGACTCCGATGACGTTGATGAGATGGGTACTGACAACACATCCCATGCTAATATGAAAAGCCCCGGATATGTAACCTTGTTGTCATGCCACCACTGCAGTATGTCGAAGTCGTCCTTGTCATTTTCATTGAAGCTAACTTTGTCGTTGTTGAGATACTTTCCTAACTCCCTGCCACCTGAAAGCACATGTGTTGCTTTTATTGTGGAAGAGCTCGGTGTCGGTGTCAAAACCGGCGGATCTCGGGTAGGGGGTCCCGAACTGTGTGTCTAGGTTGGATGGTAATAGGAGGCAAGGGACGCGAAGTTTTACCCAGGTTCGGGCCCTCTCGATGGAGGTAAAACCCTACGTCCTGCTTGATTAATATTGATGATATGAGTAGTACAAGAGTAGATCTACCACGAGATCGAGGAGGCTAAACCCTAGAAGCTAGCCTATGGTATGATTGTTGATGTGTATGTAGTCCTACGGACTAAAACCCTCCGGTTTATATAGACACCGGATAGGGTTAGGGTTACATATAGAGTCAGTTACAATGGTAGGAGATCTGAATATCCGTATCGCCAAGCTTGCCTTCCACGCCAAGGAAAGTCCCCTCCGGATACGGGACGAAGTCTTCAATCTTGTGTCTTCATAGTCCTGGTGTCCGGCTGAAGGTATAGTCCGGCTATCTGAACACCCCCTAATCCAGGACTCCCTCAGTAGCCCCTGAACCAGGCTTCAATGACGACAAGTCCGGCGTGCAAATTGTCTTCGGCATTGCAAGGCGGGTTCCTCCTCCAAGTACTTCATAGAAGATTTGGAACACAAAGGTAGTGTCTGGCTCTACAAAATAAGTTTCCACATATTGCCATAGAGAGAATAATATTTACACAAATCTAATCTGCTGACGCACTCCGTAGTGTGACATCACACCACGGCCAAGCTTTTATTCGAACCGTTTTACTGTCTCATCTCAGTGCGTTATGCGAGGCGGCTTCCTTGGCACATCTTGTTAAAGCAGAGACCGTGTCCCCTTATTCCAGGATTCTCATCAATACGGGCATGGGTAACCCAACCACGCCTTTGATTACGGCGCATGGGAGATAAGCGAGTTTTACCAGGCTGGTGGGGACATGTAGTTGCGTCCACCCATATAAGGGGATAAGGATCCACCTTTTCACCTACGCCTTCTTCCTCCTTCGCCTATCCATTCTTGCGCACTCGAGCTCCAGCGCCCAAGTCCGCACTCCTCACCTCGACCTTCTCCAGCCATGTCCGGAGCGGGAGGCAAGTGGATGGTCTCCTCCGTCACGGAGGGACACATCAAAAAGCTGAGGAAGGCCGGATACCTGTCTAACGACATCGCGCACCGGCTCCCCAAAAAGGGGCAGCTCATCCCCACCCCAAGGCCCCATGAGAGGGCGGTGTTCCTCCCCCATTTCCTCCGCGGATTGGGTTTCCCTCTCCACCCATTTTTCCGGGGGCTCATGTTCTACTACGGCCTTGATTTCCATGATTTGGCCCCGAATTTTGTCCTCAACATCTCGGCGTTTATCGTCGTGTGCGAGGCTTTCCTCCGCATCCGCCCCCATTTCGGCCTATGGCTCAAGACTTTCAACGTCAAGACGAAGGTGGTGCGCGGCAACCAGGCGGAGTGCGGAGGAGCCATGGTGGGCAAGATGGCCAACGTCCTATGGCTCGAGGGCTCCTTTGTGGAGACCCTGAAGGGGTGACAATCAGGGTGGTTTTACATCACCGAGCCATGCGACCCTAAGTGGGTCGCAGCCCCCGAGTTCTGGTCCGGACCCCCAACGCGGCTCACGTCCTGGAAAGAGACGGGCCTGACGTGGGGCAGCCAAAAGGAGGTGACCGAACTTCAAACATGCATCCAATCCCTGGTGAACAAGCAGCTCAGGCTTGTCAACGTAGTGCAGGTTATGCTCATCCGCTTGGTCCTCCCGTGTCAACAACGGGCTTTCAACCTGTGGGAGTTCGATCCGGCGCGGCACCAAACTCTAAGCAGGCTCTTCGACACGACGTACGAAGATGCCTGGAAGGTGCTTTTCAAAGGCGCCGAGGCTCCTGCATCCGCTACCAAGGATCACGGATTCAGCGCGCAGCGTCACGCTAGTGCGGTAAGCTTTTTGTACTTTTTACAGGGTACTAGTTTTTCATAGTTTAACTCTGTGCGGGATCTAAGCTCCCTTACCTTTGACAAGATTGGCAGGCAAAGTCCGGACGGATCGACTGTCCGGCACCTTTGCCCGAAGACCCAGCCGATGCCCACTTGGCAAAGCTGCTGGTTCTGGCACCCTATGTGGTGCCGGAGAAGAAGGCCGCAAAAAAGGCTGCGGGGACTCGAAAGAGTGCCCGGCGCCTGGAGGTGTCGGATTCACCATCCGACGAATCCAAGACGCACTCCTCCCACGAAGATGAGGAGGAGGAAGAAGAGACCCCCCCCCTCCAGCGGGGGAAGGGAAGAAAAGGAAGGCCTCCCCAACTGGTGAGGCCGAAGGGTCCAAGAAGGGGAGAACGCATCCTCCGGACTGTTCCACCAACGCCGACGACGGCGAAGAGGAGTGGCCGCCCAGGGCCAAGCCCCTGGCGAAATCGTAAGTATCCGGATACCAAAGTAACACATAGTATTCGTTTATTGTACAACTTTCCCTTATGTTGAATGTGTTTATGCAGCCCCCCCCCCCAAAAAAAACTGGCTTGACGTGTCGTCGAGCGGCTCACTGGACTCGTCGGACGTGAACTCGCTTCCGACAGCTTCCTCCCCCCGCCCTACGGATGACACCGAAGTGTTGTCCCAGCAAGTTCCAATCCGGGAGGAGGTGGTCCTAGAGGCGCCGCAAGGCGACCTCCCGGACTCCAGGAGTAAAGGGGACGAAACCCCCCAGGGCTCCAAGTCCGGCCCTAGGCCGGACACCGCTCCGGAACCTTCAAAGGTTCCAGAGTCCGACGAGGGTCCTCCTTCCAAGAGGAGCAAGCCCGCCGTGCCGGTGACCTCCGTCTAACCGGAGGCGCCGGACAATCTGTTGGAGGCGCTCCAAGGCGCCTCCATCGACGAGGGGCACCGCACTATTATGAGTGCGGTGGTCCAGAAGGTTCAGTCCGCCAAGAGCGGACTGACTGAAGCTTGTACAAGCCTTTTAACAGGCTTTGAGGTAAGTAAAGAATGTGTAAATAACATTACCGCATAGACAGTAGCCCTTGATGCTCTGTTTGGCGTTCGGGAAGAAAAACCGAATAGAGGATCAAATAAAATTCGCAGGAGTCTAACAAAAAGAAGTCAATATGCGTGTGCAGGCTTCCCTGCTGGCGTCCGCCGCACTGACTGCGGAAGTGGACGTGCTAAAGCAGGACCTCAAGCGGTCCGAGCAAGAGCTCGGACGTGCCAAGAAGCAGCTCAAGGACAGTAAAGGTAAGAAATACCTTGTATAAATGTGTATAAAAAGGTGCAATTGCGAAAAATGACAGGAGTATCATGGCTATTGTAGGGGCCATGTCTGAGGTGGCGACCCTGAAGCAAGCGCTGCTCGAGGCCGATAAGAGGTCGGCCGCGGAGCACACTGAGCGAGAAAAGTATGAGGCCAAGGTTGGCAAGGTGCGGCAAGAGCTCCAGGCTCTCATGGAAAAACATGAGAGTTTGGAGCGTGACTCAAGGACGCGAGCGTCCGAGCTCGCGGCGGCTACTGAAAGTGCCAAGTCTGCCAAGGCCGAATCCTCGAAGACCCTCCAGGAGTTGGATGAGGTGAAGAAGATAGCGGCGGGTAAGGCATTCTTTATGAAAAGTAAACACATAAGCGTGAGTTACTTATTACTTACCCGAATCCGGAGTTCTCCTGGCGCGTTCGCAGATCTTCCCCGGAGTATATCTGATGCCGCCGCATTCTATCAAGCTGAGGAGGGCAGCTCGACGGAGAAGGTGTTCTGGTCTCAGTACGCTGAGGCCGGACACCCCGTGCCCCTGAGCGACCAGTTGAAGCAACTGGTCGAGCTCCACAAGGCGGCCGAACAGGCCATGAAGGGCCTCATAGTTCGGTTGTGGCCTGGAGAGGCTCAGCCTGGGAGCTATTTCGGGCTAGTGCGACGGCTGGTGGAGGCCTGTCCAAGGCTCGAAGTCATCAAGCGCTCCGTCTACATTGAAGGTGCCCGTAGGGCCCTTGCCCATGCGAAGGTGCACTGGGGCAAGCTGGATGCTGAGAAGCTTGTGAAGGACGGGCCACCGCCGGGGAAAGAGCATCGCAAGCCCGAAAATTATTATAAGGATGTTCTGAAGGGTGCCCGCCTTGTGGCGGATGAATGTTCTATGGATGTAATTTTTGAATAAAACTCGCTTGTTTTGTCCTGTGCGCTGAAAACTTGTTCATATGCGCTTAAGCAATGCTGTTTGAATTTAAAATATTACCTTCTGTGCGGCTGTTTATCAATTCTGAGAGATGGCGAGTCGTCGGCTTCTGCCCCCGTGCCGCTAGTGCTGGGGTGTTCGGGGATAAACCTGAGGGCTCTTTTTCCCATGTTTGGGTCCTTCGAGGGAGGCGCTCAGCCCAACGAACAAGGCAATCGGACTATAATGCGTGAACACTCTCACTTAGTCATAGAATTCTATAATTTTAAATTTCGGCGAAGCCCCTGGTATTCGGAAGACCGAGTTCGGGGCGCTATCCACGCCTTGGCCGGACAGAGCCGGCTCCTCGCCCTAAGCGGCATAAGTCTTTAAGGACTCGAAAAGACCTCTCGAACAGCGACCAACTCTCGCCTCATCATGACAGTCAATTTTAGCTTTCTCCACTGAGGTGCTCAACCCAGCTCAACCGGGGCACAATCGCAGTGGTTCTCCTAGTGCTACCTTAGCCGATATAGCGGAACGTAAGGCACCAAAATATAGGAGCCGGGCAAACCCAACTATTGACCCAAGACATGATTCGGAGCCGATGCATATAATGCTATAAGTTCGGGGTGCCGCACTTGTTAAAGTGTTCGGACTTCTCACACCATGTTGAGGGGTACTGAAGCCCCTGGCGTATTTTGGCCGTACCAAAGTGTACGGGTGCAACATGTTGTTAAGGAACATATATAAATATAAAAAAAAAGAGTAATGCAAAAATAGACAAAAGCTATGCATTGTTTATTAAAAAGAGCTGCGATCAAAGCAGAACGATACAAATAATGCGATAAGCAAAAGGTTGGACTATGTAACATGTCCGCTCCAGGGGCAAGCTGCGGAATAATATGCGAAACAGGTATACTGCTCGTGATAGAGACCACCTGGGAGTTCCATAATGCGGCGTGGCTTGTCTGCTTCCCTGGTTCTTGCATCATTTGTGCGGCAATTGAACTGCCGAATAGGCCTTCCGAAGAGTGGAGTCCTGAAAGTAAGAGGAAATTAAAAAATCGGCAGCCCCTGGTACGGTTGAAGCCGTGTTTTGGGCGTGCCGTGATGGTGCCCCTCCCCGTGTGCCCATGGTATCTCTAGAGCGTAGTTATGTACGCGAAGTACTGACGTCGCCTTTTTGCAAGGGTTGGGGTTGGGGCCGCATTGCTACGCCTGCTCGGATCGTGCTAGGCGGTCTTGTTGTAGGTTACTCCGGGCGCGCTTGACGGTGTCCGGTCGTTTAGTGGCCGGACTGGAGAAATGCCTGGAGAGGCTGCTTTGTACTTCCGCTGCAAGGGCCGCCGTGTGCTCCTCCGTTCGGAGGGAGCGTTCGGTGTTTCCGTTGACCGTAATTACTCCTCGAGGGCCTGGCATCTTGAGCTTAAGGTATGCGTAATGCGGTACTGCATTGAACTTAGTGAATGCGGTTCGCCCGAGCAGTGCGTGATAACCACTGCGAAACGGGACTATGTCGAAGATTAACTCCTCGCTTCGGAAATTATCCGGAGATCCGAAGACCACTTCAAGTGTGACTGAGCCTGTACAGTTGGCCTCTACACCTGGTATTACGCCTTTAAAGGTCATTTTGGTGGGCTTAATCCTCAAGGGATCTATGCCCATTTTCCACACTGTATCCTGGTAAAGAAGGTTCAGACTGCTGCCACCGTCCATAAGGACTCCAGTGAGATGAAATCCGTCAATAATTGGGTCTAGAACCAATGCGGCGAAGCCGCCGTGACGGGTGCTAGTGGGGTGGTCCCTTCGATCAAAGGTGATCGGGCAGGAGGACCATGGGTTGAACTTTGGGGCAACTGGCTCTATCGCGTATACGCCCCTTAACGCGCGTTTCCGCTCCCTCTTGGGGATGTGGGTTGCGTATATCATGTTCACCGTCCGCACTTGTGGGGGAAAACCCTTCTGTCCCCTATTGTTCGGCGGCCGGGGCTCCTCGTCGTCATCGCTATGCAGCCCCTTGTCTTCGTTTTCGGCGTTTAACTTGCCTGCCTACTTGAACACCCAACAATCCCTGTTGGTGTGATTGGCCGGCTTTTCGGGGGTGCCATGTATCTGGCATAAGCGGTCGAGTATTCAGTCCAAACTGGACGGGCCCCTAGGATTCCTTTTGAATGCCTTTTTTCGCTGACCGGATTTAGAGCCTCTGAATCCGGCATTAACTACCGTATCATCTGCATTGTCGCTGTTAATGTGGCGCTTCTGTTTGTTGCGACGCGACCTACCACTACTGTCCCTGGTGTCCGAATTACAAGGGTTCTTGGTTATATTGTTGCTACGAGCAAGCCAGCTATCTTCTCCCGCGCAAAAGTGGGTCATGAGTGTCGTGAGTGCTGCCATAGATTTCGGCTTTTCCTGTCCAAGGTGCCGGGCCAGCCACTCGTCATAGATATTGTGCTTGAAGGCTGCTAGGGCCTCAGCGTACGGACAGTCGACTATTTGATTTTTCCTTGTTAGGAACCGTGTCCAGAATTGCCTGGCCGATTCATCTGGCTGCTGAATTACGTGACTTAGGTCATCGGCGTCTGGGGGTCGCACATAAGTGCCCTGGAAATTGTCAAGGAATACGGCTTCCAGGTCCTCCCAACAACTGATTGATCCTGTTGGCAAGCTGTTAAGCCAATGCCGAGCTGGTCCTTTAAGCTTGAGTGGGAGGTATTTGATGGCGTGGAAATCATCGCCGCGGGCCATGTGGGTATGAAGGAGATAATCCTCAATCCATACCGCAGGATCTATTGTGCCATCATATGATTCGATGTTTACGGGTTTGAAACCCTCGGGGATTTGATGATCCATTATTTTGTCTGTGAAGCAGAGTGGGTGTGCGGCGCCTCTGTACTGGCTATATCATGACGTAGCTCCAGTGAGCCTTGTCTACTATGTTCGGCCCTGCCGAATTTGTGGCTGGCGTGACGGATGTCGTCTCGAGCAGTGGGGCGCCCACGCGATCCGTAGATCGATCTTGTTTGTCTAGCCTTGTCCTCCAACATATCTCGTAACTTCGGCGCATATTCCCGTGCCTTGGTACGGGGTGCGGCTTGAGTGGAGGGCCGAGAGGCCTCTCTGTCGCGGCCACGAGGTGGCCGGTCGGCCGCATCAAGTGCTTCCTCCTCTAATTGGGGTAGCAACCTTCGCTTTGGGTAGCTCTTGGAGGGGTGTTCGAGTTTATGCTTTTCGGCTGCAAGGACTTTAGTCCATCTGTCGACTAGCAAATCTTGATCAGTTCTAAGCTGTTGCTGTTTTTTCTTGAGGCTTCTTGCCGTGGCCATAAGCTTGCGTTGAAAACGCTTTTGCTCGACGGGATCCTCTGGCACGACGAATTCGTCGTCGTCGAGGCTTGCCTCGTCTTCGGAGGGAGGCATATAATTATAGTCCTCGACCTCTCTATCTGCCGCTCTCTCATGAGGGCTGGTTTCTCCATCCTCCTGTGCTAAATCTTGCTGGAGGGGGTTTTCTTTGGCGCTTTCCGGAGTATTATTATCTCCCGTGCTGGAATCACCGTGTTTGTTTTGGCGGGATTTTGAGCGGCGCCGCTACCGCCAGCGCTTAGGCTGTTTCTTGGAGGGGTCATCCTCTGCAGTTTCGTCGCCATCTCCCTCTTTTGGGGTGTCCACCATGTATATGTCATACGACGAGGTGGCTTTCCAGGGCCTAATAGGCGCTGGTTCTTCATCATCTCCTTCATCGGCGTCCGTATCGTCGATGTCTTCGGAGTCGAAGTCGAGCATGTCGGTTAAGTCGTCGACAGTGGCTACAAGTGGGTGGTGGGTGGGCTTTGAATTTCTTCATCATCTGAATCCCAACCCTGCTGGCCGCGGTCCGGCAGGGCTCTCCTGATAAAGAGAGAGACTCCAGTGACTTCAGAATATCGCCAAAAGGCGAGTGCTGAAAGATGTCCGCGGCAGTAAACTCCATGATCGGCGCCCAATCAGATTCGATTGGCCGGGGCGTGGAGGGTTCGGAGTCCGGAAAGGAGTCCGGCTCCTTGGAGTCACGAGTCTCGCGGAGTGCGGGGCTGGTGTTCGGCTCAATCGCCGTTGGGATCGCAGCCCCCGAGGCGGCGTCCAACCGCACATCCTCGATCGGCGCCGTTGGCTCCGAATTAGGGATCAGAGCCGTTGCGAGTGCGGCCTCCATGGCACTGTTCGGCGGCAGAGCTAAATCATGCTCGTCGGGGCAGTGCGGCGCGCTCGGAAGTGGTTCGAATCCGTCGAAGATCAAGTCTCCGCGGATGTCAGCCATGTAGTTTAAACTTCCAAATCTGACCTGACGGCCAGGGGCGTAGCTTTCGATCTGCTCCAGACGACCAAGTGAATTGGCCCGCAGTGCGAAGCCGCCGAAGACGAAGATATGTCCGGGAAGGAAGGTCTCACCCTGGACTGCATCATTGTTGAAGATCGTCGGAGCCATCGAGCCTGACGGCGCCGACACAGAGGAACTCTCAGTGAAAGCACCAATGTCGGTGTCAAAACCGGCGGATCTCGGGTAGGGGGTCCCGAACTGTGCGTCTAGGCTGGATGGTAACAGGAGGCAAGGGACACGAAGTTTTACCCAGGTTTGGGTCCTCTCGATGGAGGTAAAACCCTACGTCCTGCTTGATTAATATTGATGATATGGGTAGTACAAGAGTAGATCTACCACGAGATCGAGGAGGCTAAACCCTAGAAGCTAGCCTATGGTATGATTGTTGATGTGTATGTTGTCCTACGGACTAAAACCCTCCGGTTTATATAGACACTGGATAGGGTTAGGGTTACATAGAGTCGGTTACAATGGTAGGAGATATGAATATCCGTATCGCCAAGCTTGCCTTCCACGCCAAGGAAAGTCCCCTCCGGACACGGGACGCAGTCTTCAATCTTGTGTCTTCATAGTCCTAGAGTCTGGCTGAAGGTATAGTCTGGCTATCCGAACACCCCCTAATCCAGGACTCCCTCACTCGG